CCCTCAGCATATTACTGGGTGATTGCAGCATCTTACACAAACTGTCTCTGGACGCTGTTGCCTTTGAAATGGTAAGACCACTGAGCAGACTAAATGATCCTTTTTAGAGGCAAGTTCTGCAATCAGTCAGTATTAACAACCATTTTAGCACAATTCTCACTGGCATTTATGACTTCACATTTCAGATGAGGGAAATTTGAAGCCAAAGCCTACATCTTTATATGTTGTAGGCTGTATGCACCTGTTTGGGGGCATATAGTGTCCTGCAATTAGAAACTAGGATGTAAGGGAGAAATGCTTTAAGTCTAGGGCCCTTCCTGATACACTTCTTTTCTATGAGCAGGGAATTCTTTTTATGAGGAGCATATAAACATGTGTTTATTGAATTTTATCATTCCCTTTCTCCAAGGAGCTGATTTAATGGTCCTGCTCTCCCATTTTATCCTCACAAATGAACCTGGTTTAGACTGAATCAGACCACTCGTCCAACTAGGTCAGTCCTGTCTACTCAGACTGGTAGCAACTCTCCAGGGTCTCAGGCTAAGGTCTTTCACTTCACCTACTACCTGGTGTTTTTATCTGGAGATGCTGGTGTTACGCCAAATGCTTTATCTACAGCAGATGGCTAACTATAATTTTAATGTGAGTTCTGGCCAGCTATACCGATAAGAGACCCAGTAATGGAGACCACAAGGGTGTTTTTCTAAAACAAAATAATCTTTTTACTGAAGGATTTCGAGTTCACACATACAAAATAATCAGTCTCTCGTTTCACATACACTCAAGATTCCTATAGAGTTACAGAAAGAAATCAAAATAGATTATCAGTTACTTGGAGGGAGGGAGGTATATTTCGGTTTATACTCGCCTGATTCCAGTAGTCTTGTCTGTTGCAATGGAAGAATAGGGGATAAAAAAATTCCTAGGGATTTTAACTAACTCGCACCTGCTAGAACCTGCTAACAAGATGTGGACCTCATTGGCTGCAGTCCAAGAGATCTTAAAGTAGACAAAAGGGTTGTGGTATAGGAAGCTGGGCTTAAGAGGTGGTAAAGAAGATAGAGGTCATAGAGAAAGGGTAGCTAGCAAAGACCTAAGGTTTGGGTCTTTACTTTTATAGTGGAACCTCCAGGTGGGTGGCACCTTGCCAAACTGTCGTCCCACCTACTCACAAGTCCATCCCATGAACTACCTGATTGGTGAATGTAGAAAGGGGCAGCTGTCCCTGTGGGTTGGGCCAATATTTGAAATACTATCATCTATCTCATGGAATATCATTTGGCTAGGTGTGAAGTCGCTTCTTCCTGTTTCTCCTTTGAAGTACAAATGAATCTTGGCTCTTCCATGCCAGTTTGGTACCATCAACAGGAAACTGCCATACAGATGCAGATAAAGTCTATGCTCTATGTGACATCTCGTCTTTGTAGTAATGGGGGATCTTCTTCTCTGGGTTGTCGTTTTCTGCTAACAATGGCTAACATGTGCTCCTTCTTCCCATGTTCCTTTGAGCTGAATGTGTGCAAGCTACATTAACCTAAAATGCAGGCAAGTGTTTCCTATGTGAATTCTGTCTCACAGTAGGTAATTCAAACAGTTTTCTTTGGCTCATGGCATACAAGTGTGACTGCAGCCATGAAATTAAAAGACGCCTGCTACTTAGGAGGAAAGCGATGGCGAACCTAAACAGCATGATAAAAAGTAGAGACATCACCCTGCCAACAAAAATACGCATGGTCCAAGCAATGGTATTCCAAGTAGTCATGTATGGCTGCGAGAGTTGGACTATAAGGAAGGCTGAGCGCCGAAGAATAGATTCTTTTGAACTATGGTGCTGGAGAAGACTCTTGAGAGTCCCTTGGATTGCAAGAAGATCAAATCAGTCAATCCTAAAAGAAATCAACCCTGACTGTTCCCTGGAAGGCCAGATAATGAAACTGAAGCTCAAATACTTTGGCCCCCAAATGAGAAGGGAGCACTCACTGGAGAAGACCCTGATGCTGGGAAAGATTGAAGGTCAAAGAAGACGGGGATGGCAAAGGATGAGATGGCTGGACAGTGTCATCGATGCAACGAACATGAAACTGAGCAAACTTCAGAGGACAGCGGAAGACAGGAGGGCCTGGTGGGATCTAGTCCATGGGGTCGCGAAGAGTCGGACTTGACTGTGCGACTGAACAACAAAAATACAAGTGTGTGCACAGTTCATTTGGTGTGTGTGTGTAGCAGATATAAATTCATAAATAAGTTCATTTCTCAACACTGAGGTTGGACCTGGATCCTTATGCATGTCAAGCAGATGCTCTACCACTGAGCCATGGCTCTTCCTTACAACAACCTAGAGAGACAGTGACTGGCTCAAGGTTACTTAGTGAACCATTCCACTTTAGCTGCACTTGTTCTTCCCCACCCAAATTGCAATTAGAGTGAGGATGCATCTGAAGAGTAATGATCCAACAACAGAGGCACCAAATTATTTTGATTGCATTGTTTGGCTCTTAGATGGAGGGAGTGGCAGGTGAAAAGTGTAGGCTTATGAAACTAAATAAAACTATACTTCCGATCCCCTAAGTGGAAGTAATGTGGTAAAGCCTACACTTATGCCAATTTTACATATTAATATAGTTTACATTTACATTGTTTATTTTTGCATTTCTCACATCTGTATACATTTGATGATGCAGTTTCCAGTCTACAAAAGCTCATACACAAGGCATTTGTTACTATTTAAGAAGCTCAAGACTTGGTTGTTGTTTTTGCTGCGAGAGACATAACTGTTATTCTGGAAAAGGGTTAAAAAACCCCACTTGATTTAAGGTTGACTCTCATCTAATTTGTTTTCTGCCATGTGATAGCATTCATATGTGCACATATCATGTGAGATGCTCAAAAGGTGCCTTTAACATCTCTGATGAAAATGTTCATAATTTCTCCCTACTTATGATGGATCACTATGGTTGCTTTTCTTGTACTGACCCGTAGCCCAGTCCACCAGATCAATGAAAGAAGAAGGGATCATTTTGCAGTCAGGGCAAAGGAATTCATAGACATGCAGTGTTGATGGAGTGTGTGATGTGCATTCGTGCTTTCCTGCCATTTAGCAGAATTCTTCCCTTTCTTTCACTTTCACTTCCCATCCCAATCAGTTTGCTTCCCACAATTGTTTTACACCAGAGTAATATTTTCAGAGGGTTAGTTGTGTCGAAAATAAACAAGACTCATGGCACTTTAGTGACTTTTATTTCAGTATAAGCCTTCATGGTTTAGAGCCCACTTTTCCAGAGGTTCTTTCTGCTTGGTCATGCAAGGTATTGGTGACACTGTACACTGCCTTGGCTAGGCATCACCTGGAGTATTGCATTCAGTTTTGAGCACCACAGTTTAGAAAGAATGTCAACAAGTAAGAAGGAGTCCAGCACAGGGCAATGAAGCTAGTGAGGAATATGTAGTCCATGTCCTATGAGGAGAGGTTGAAGGGGTCAGGAATCTCTGTATTGGACAAGAGATGCTTGTGAGGTGATATGATCGCCACCTTCCAATACCTAAAGGGAAGCCATGTGAGGGATGGGGTGGATATGTTTTCAGTCATGTTGGATGATAGGACTATTGGATATAAACTAGAGCAAAGGAGGTTTCATGTAAATCTGAGGATGAACTTCCTGAAGGTGTGGTGTGTTTGACACTGGAACAGTCTTCCTTGTGAAGAGGTGGATTCTTTGTTTTTGGAGGTTTTAAAGTATCAATTAGATACCTATTTGTTGGGGATATTATAGCTGTAGTTCCTACATTGGCAGGGGGTTTGACTAGATGCCCTTGGGTACCTTCCAACTCTGAGACTAATTTTATTTTTTTTAATCGCCCAACCCATAGCATGTAGCTTTCAGTATTTTGTCTTGTGGCTGTGTGGAAGGGGTGCACAAAGTACTGAGGTGGTTAAAGAGGGGAGCAGACAGTGGGCCCCACCTTAGCATAAGGGACACACAGGGGTGGAGAATAGTGTCGCCTCGAGGACCCTCCCTGACAAGAAAATGGCCAGAGAGAGGGACACCCTTTAAATAACCACCTTTTACTCAGAAGGGAAGGAGCTGCGGTGGCTCAAGTGGTTAAGACGCTGAACTGCAGGCTGTGGAAGGTCACGTAGTCCAGCAGTTCAAGACCCGGGTGCTGCATGATGGAGTGAGCTCCCGTCTCTAGTTCCAGCTCCTGCCAACCTAGCAGTTCGAAAGCAAGAAATTGCAAGTAGATAAATAGGTACCACTTCGGTGGGAAGGTAACAGCGTTCGTGCGCCTTGGTGTTTAGTCATGCCGGCCACGTGACCACGGAAACGTCTTCGGACAGCCCTGGCTCTTCGGCTTTGAAACGGAGAGTTGGATTCGACTGGCTTTCGAGCAAGGGAACCTTTACCTTTACTCAGAAGGTGTGAGATCTCCTGTGCCAGACAGAGCCCTGTGGAAGTGGGGGCAGAAGGCGCCCGTTCCACAAACTGAAATGTTCCCACTAGTCTCCCTTCAGCCACCTGAGCGAGGACTGCACGCTCGCTGGCCAGCGTGTGTGCCAGACCCTGTTCTCTTCGGGAGGTCCAGTCACTCTCTCACACACACACCCGAGCGAGCGAACCGCGCCGAGTGCCTGGGCGGGAGGAGGCGCGGGGGAGGGAAGCGAACTGAGGGAGTTCCGCACACATCCACACCTTGACTGGAGAGCCAGCCGCTTAGCCTGGGCACCCAGACGCCGCACACGAAAGGCACGCACGAGGCGCTACACACACACACACACACACACACACCCGCG